CGCCCAGCCTGGCCTTGCTGTTCTCCTCCTGCTGCTCCTCCTCGGCTGTTCTCGTGGCATGCGGGGTCGGGTGGGGGGGGGTGGCTGCTCCGTCTGTGGGCTGTGTGGGACTGACCCACAACTCTCCCCTTCAGCTCCATCAGGTGCTGGTGCAACTCCAGGTGGGGGAGAAGGAGCAGGACTTCTCTCTGGCACCCATCCAGGTCTCCATTAGCGTCCAGCTGTGGCGGCTGCCGGGCTGCCACGAGTTCCTGGCAGCGCTGGGTAGGCTTCGGCGCGCGGGGGCTGGCTGGCTGGCGGGGTGGGCCACTGGCCGGACTGAAGCGCGTTCCCTGGCATGTGCCTGGCCCCGCGGGGCAGCTGGGGGGAGCCCCTCGTCCTGGCGTTAGGCCTGCAGTGGGCAGGGCTCGAGCCGAGTGTGCTGTGTGTGGCTTGCAGGATTCGACCTCTGTGAAGTCGGGCAGGAGGAGGTGATCCTGAAGACGGGCAAGCAGGCCAGCCACCGGACCCTGCACTCCGCTCTCCAGACCCTGCTGGCCCTTTTCGGTGAGGCCCCTCCAGGGAATGGGGCAGGGGGGAGCCGAGTCGTCATGCGGCAGAACTTTGGGGGCCTGGGGGTGGCCGGGCCTGGGCTCTGCTTTCGGAGTGGTGGGGGGCGTGTATGGACCCCAGAGAGAGCTCATGTCCACGTCAGCGGGGGGCCCTTAATGGGGCAATCCTTCGGCAAGTGGGGGTGCTGCATGTGGCACAATCGGGGCGGCGGGGGGGAGCCAGTCCCATGCGCTTACCATCAATGCTCCCTCTAAGCTGTGGAGTCTTGTGAGCAAAAATTCTACTCTGGGAGTTACTGGCACTAAAGCGGTGAGTGAGCAGTTCGGCTACTGCATACATTAGTCTGCTCTGGAGCCATCCTCCCTGAGCTAAGACAAAAGTGTCTGAACTGGAGGCTAAAAAAACGGTGAGCTAGCTCACACCAACTCAGCTTAGAGGGAACACTGCTTACCACTCTCCTCTGGGGGCTCCCGTCACAAATGTCCCTTCATTCCTAGAAATGCAAATGCGGGGCTGGGAGGGACTTTGTGGGTCATCTAGTGCAGTGCAGGAAATTCACAGCCACCCCCACACACAGACACACCAGAGTGGACCAGAGGACGGTAAAAAATCTCCAGGATCCCTGAACCAGTCTTGACCCCAGAGTGGCGTCTGGCGTTGCTCTTGGCCTTTCCCCCCAATCCTTGTCCTCAGGAATCCTTGGCTGAGGAAGGCTGCCGTGCGAGGCCAAGAGAGGCCGGTGGGCCGGGCATCCTGGCCGTCACCATCGCGGACGGCCTCTCTTTACTCCAGCCTTGGCACTGCCCGGGGGGCCCCGCGCGCTCTCTCTAGGCCGACGTCCCAGGGCCAGCAGTGTGCCTTGCGCAACCAGAAGCGGCCGCTGAGGGGCAGCAGGGCTGTCTTTCCACAGCCGCCTACGGCAGCACCGCAGCTAACCTTTCTGCTGGTGGGTCCGGACCACAGGATCCGTGGTAATACCCTGATGAGCCACAAGATCAACCGAAGTGTTTCCAAGGCAGCCGTGTGAAATACAAGCTTAAGACTAGCCGAGGCACAAAGCAGGGATGTCTCCTTTCTCCTCTGCTACACCAGTCTGACCAGAGGCTGAAACTGGTGTCACTGATGTAAAGAGGACGCTATACACGGACAGCGGATATGGAGTGGTGTAGCAGAGTCCAGTCTCATCAGATCTGCAAAGAAGTGGAGGACAGAATTCTTGCGGGCCAATAACCCCCCTCCCAGAATCTCTTAAGAAAATGCTTTGTAAGCCAGAAGGAACAGGAGGATCCACCCCCCCCCCACCTCTCCCAAGTGCTGCCTGGCATTACACAGCAGCAGGGGAGTGCCTGAGTGGCGTAGGGATGTACCCACGTGCTGCCGAGTTGCAACAGACTCATGGCAACTTCAACAAGGGGCTTTTGAGGCAAGAGGCCTCCCTGAGCGGCCTTCCGTCCAAGTGCTCAGCCCTGCATAGCTTCCACGGTCCAATGAGACCAGGCTGCCCCGTGCCGCCTTCTCTCCCTGGTCCCCGGTTGACAGCAGGGGAACGGAAAAGTGCTCGTGCCAGTCAATGGACCGCTCGAGTCTGGTTTCGGGGGAAAGCAAAGACTCTTAAGGCTCTCTCTGTTAGGTACACCTGTGTACTATTAGCCACCTGTGGCCCCCATTAGCGGACAGCAAAATCTGTGAGTCGGGCGCAGCCTCCGTGTCAGAGGATGCCCAGGAGTTGCTGTGGCTGGGCTGCTGAGTACTCCAGGTGACCTTGCCCAGTGGTTTCATGCAGATGTTAAAGAGCACATGGGTCACGTACTAGCACAGGTTATCTGCCAGGGCGACCAAAGCTGTTTCAGTCCCGTGACCAGACTGGCAAGGTGAGGGTCATGCTTTATCCAGGAAAGCTTGGCCACCTCTTGCTCAAGAAGGAAACATTTGAGGCCCTTCAATATTGGTTGCGATCTCCCAGGTCCAGGGGGCAGCAGGCTTCTCTAGGAGTGGAGGTGCCACAGACCGCGTCAAGGCTGCCCCTCAGGGAGGCATTAAGTGTGCCTCTCAGACCCCATCCACAGATTTAATTAGCCGGGAAGGACAAGGGTCATTAGGCCTCAGACCTCCACATCCTCAGACTGAATAAACTGGGAAGTATTCTAAACAATAGCAGCAATCCCAGTTGTGTTTTGGAAAGACAAAAGTCCAGGATCAACTTGTACTTTATGTCTATTTGGGTAAGAGGAGGACTTGAGATTATGACGTGACTATTAAAAAGAATGACGGGTTCTTGTGATACCTGTTATATCAGTTATACATAATTAGATGAAATGATACAGTTTTCCTAACGCGTGGTTCTAAATTTGACCTGGTATGTTTTTAATGGTATCTTTCTAGGGGATTTGTTTTAAAAAATCAATTAAAATCAAGAAACATGAAATGTGATAGAAGTAGCAGTAGTCATGAGTGAAGGTGATGGCAAAATGAGAAAAGACAGATTTGTAAAACTACAGCCACCAGCGCTGTCCTCCTCCTCTGGGGGAAACCGAGGGGTGCCGCAAAGGCATTGAGGGCACAAGAGGGCCCGGAAAAGCAGGCCGCAGAGGACGTCCGTCTGCATGGGGGGTGAGACTGGGGTGTGGTGTCCAGACCGAGGGCAGCGGGGTTCTCTCGTGCTGGAGCACCCAGCACCCAGCGAGTGAGCCAGAGACTGAGGCAGCTCCTGAAGAATTTTCCTTGCTTCCATCTTCGGCCACAGCAGGCAGAAATGTGTTAGGTCAGGAGGAAGCCCCACACTCCGGTGTGTGTACCCCATCTGTGACTCTCTCTTTCTGCTTCCTTTAGACTCCACAGAGCTACCCAAGCGCTTGAGCTTAGACAGCTCCTCGTCCCTGGAATCCCTGGCCTCGGCTCAGTCCGTCTCCAATCCGGGGCCTCTCGGCTATCCGCACCCACCGTTTTCCCCCACGGGCCCGGACAGCTTGGCCTCGGACGCCATCTCCGTCTACAGCCTGAGCTCCATCGCCTCCTCGGTCAGCTTTGCCTCCAAGCCGGAGGGCGTGCTGGAAGGGGGAGGAGCCCGCGGGCGCCCAGACTATGAGAGGCCAAAGAACATCCACCCCCAAAGGACCCAGAGGACACGTGGCCCGTTCTCCCCACAAACCAGCACGGCCTTTGGCAAAGATGGGGACGATTACGAGGGGTACTCCATCATCAGCAATGACCCACTGGGAACGTACCAGGAGACGAGGCAGCCGCGGTTTTCCCCCGACCACAAACCCTCCCAGATTCATAAGGCCGGAGGGATCAAGATTTCCGTCAGCTCCAAGGGGAGTGTCAGTTCTCCAAACTCCCCTGTTAAAATGACTCTCATTCCCAGCCCAAACTCCCCGTTCCAGAAGGTTGGGAAACTGGCGGGTTCAGACACGGGCGACTCTGACCAGTCCAGCACGGAAACGGACAGCACCGTCAAGTCGCAGGAGGAGAGCAACCCAAAGCTCGACCCTCAGGAACTGGCCCAGAAGATCCTGGAAGAGACTCAGAGCCACCTCCTGGCCGTGGAGCACCTCCAGCGGAGCAGTGGCCAGCTCAGCAAGAGCAGCAGCTTGGACAACGGGGCCTCCCCGCTCGCGGGCGCATCGTCCTTCCGGTCATCGGAAACCAGCGCCTTCAGCAGGCCCCTGTGGTCCAGCCACAAGGGCCAGCCTTCCCCCACCTCCGCGAAGCCAAAGCCCCCAACCAGGAGCTCCTCCCTGCAGAAGGTGAGCTCCGGCTACAGCAGCCCAGCAGCCTCCGAGGCCTCCGCCAAGGAAGGCACGGGCCAGCACAGCAACCAGCCGTCCCCCAGCTCCGACCCCCACGGGCCCCTCTTCCGGCTCAAGTACCCCAGCTCCCCCTACAGCACTCACATCTCCAAGTCCCCCAGGAACATCTCCCCGAGCTCAGGGCATCACTCCCCGGCAGGCAGCACCCCATCCCCGGCGCTCTCCTACTCTTCCGCCAGCTCCGCCCGCTCCAGTCCCGCCGATGCCCCCGCCCTGGACAAACTCAAGAGGGCCACCATCGATGAGAAGGTGCAGGCCATCCACAACCTGAAGATGTTCTGGCAGAACAGCCCCCAGAGCTCCACGGGCCCCATGAAGATCTTGCGGAGCGCCGCGGGGAGAGCGACGGCCAGGCGGGATGTGCTCAGCTTATTGAACTTGTCTCCACGGCACAGCAAGGACGACGCCCCCCCGGACAAGATGGAGCTGAAGGACTTGTCTGCTCCTCAGCCCCAGACCTCACCACAGAACGGACACAGGCGACCTGACCCCGCCCCGCCCGCGCTCCCGACCAGCACGTCAGGCCCCGGGCACCACCACCCTTTGCGGCTGCCTTCGGGAAACGGTTACAAATTCCTGTCGCCAGGACGCTTCTTCCCTTCTTCCAAATGCTCAAGTCCGTTTGATCTCATGAAGGTCTGGGGCC